GAAAGCAAATCTTTTATAGGACATGCAAGTTGCCACATTGCAGAGAAGGGAGGAAAAAAAAAAACCACCACCACCAACAAAAAAGGTTAGCTTGATATAGTATTACCCAGCTCTGCTTCTGCCTGCTTGTGTCATGTAATAAGAATCTTAATGATAATACATGTGCGTTTACTGATGAGGAATGCTAATCTTGTTTGCTTTTTGTCTCTGCTGAGCATTTGTGTTTTTCTAAATAGCTGCCTGGAAGTTGGATAAAGGAAATAGCTAGCTAATGTTTATTGAGCAATAAAGACAGACTATTTAGGATTATTAAAACTTCTTCTTTATTCAGACTCCCCCTCTACCCCCTCCCCCAAGCACACATACATTTTGGGAGGTGAAAAGTGGCAACATAATACAGTAACAAAAATTGCAATAGTCTGAATGAGGATAACAGGGTTGTTTCAAATGGTAAAGTTTACACTGAGGTTCCATAGCTGCTAGGGCTGGTCAAAATTTAAGAACTTTTAGTCCAGTGTTCTCCCCAATCTTGTGTCGTGTGTTAGTGCTTCTTACTATGCTTGCTTCAGTTCTGAATTTTGTCACAGCTTCAGTGATTGAAATTAAGCAAGTACTGTCCTTAATGACTCAGTTCCTCCTTTTTGTAAAATGCCATATTAGTATTTATAGAAATAAAATTACTAGTGTTCATCTAAATATGAAAATAATAGAACTGTTTTTACACCTTAGTTTTTTTTACAGAAAATATCAGAATTCCATGTGCACTTTTTATTTTTGGCTTGCAAAAGAATAAACATTTGAAACCCATAGTATTTCAGCCAAAAACATTTGTTACGGCCACTTTTTATTTTTATGAGCCCTCTGCTGTAGTGTCTCAAAGGAGATTGTTGCCCTTAGCTAAATTTTCTTTGAACTCCAATTCTCTTGATCCATGGCAGCTGAAGAGTGGTCTTGTATCCCAATTGTCTGATGATAAGTGGCTATGTTGCATATGAGCAAAATATAATCTGGGAAGCATAAGGCACTGTAGCAGCATTAGCAAATAAAAATATTTAAATTTATGCAACAAAATTAACTTTTTTAGTAGGATTATCTTCAATTTTCCAGTTGCTCTATCTTCTGCAAAGAAGACAAATATAACCATGATCCTTTCTCTGAGAAACAACTGAGCATTCCCCCCACAAAGGGAGCGAGCATCTGCTTACTCTGCTAATAAAAGCTGTGGAAGTTTGGAAAAAGTATGGAAGTCTTCATAGGGAATAACATTAAGCATGTCTGCACTTTCCCTAAGGAACACTGGTAGTACAAAACTAGAAAAAAGTACCTTGCTTGTTATTTTAGGGAAGCAACTCTTCTTGTAAGTATTTTTTTCATTCTTATATCACAAACTTTTTTCTTCTGTACAGTTAAAATAGATTTTAACAATTTCTTTCCCCTCTTTTTATCGTGAGTCAAAATTGCTAATTTAATTATCCAGGAAGTGCTAAACATAGCCACATTTCAGAACTTTGCAAATGTTGTTTGTAGAATTATTTATATTGACTACATTGGAAATATGGGTGATTAGCAATGATTACTGTCTTAGTTTGTGAGAACTTCCAGATGGAACTCCCACCATCCTTTAAGGACAGAGCTTCTTGATTATGTATAAGTTTGAGTTTGACATTCAGTGAATGCTTTAAAGGATGACAATAGAGAAAAGCATAAATGGGCATGGGGAGAACAGCTGGGATTCAGAACAGTAGGTATCAATATGGCATGATGAACAAGGAGGACAGTGAATTTATTGTCAGTTGGTAACTGCAGATTTTCAGTGCTTTCACTTCTTGGTGTAGCACCTTTGTTTCTTGCTCAGTAGAACTGGTGATTTTGGTTCACTTCTAGAACTCAGCAGCATTTTTAGTTAATGCTAATATCAACTGTTGAAAAGACTTCAGCGTTATGCATGCTTTTCTAGCAGTTCTAGTACACTTGCGTACTACATCATTCTACATATTTAGGGAAAGGACTTCTATACAATGCAGTCAGCATTTCCTGTTATCTACTGTGATTGTTTCTAACCAGTTGAAATTTTGGGGCATGTGTAATAATGTGTAGTTACTTGTAGTAACTAGTTTTGTCCAAACTTTTGTGAACAAGAAATTTTCTAACGTGTAAGAAAATTTGCCTAATTTACAGAAGAGTTTTTTCATTGTGTCTTCATCTGTAAATTATGAAATCTACCTTAGCCATAATTTATGAAATATACCTTTTCTGCACTCAGTGGTAGTGACTACCTATTGCTGTAGTCACTAAAATAAGTAGCTTTAAGTTAGAGTGAACAACCTGCTTGAAACTGGGCAAATGACTCTACTCAGTCTTGATGTTATTTGCAATAATTCTTTTATTCAAATTAATTTTTATTTCTTGAGATGTCTTGGTCCTTTGCGGAAATATAGTTCATACCAAAGTCCAGGTTAAGAAAATCCTCGTTCTATCCTATTGAGGATAATGCAACTGAATATCAACTTAATTAATTAGTTTAACTTTACAGCAGTTTACAAATAATTCCCATGAGTTTTGTTCCTGCCTACTTGCTTGTCTGTGCTTGTTATTATGCTCACTTAAAAGCATAAACATAATTAAAATGCTTTCATAGATTTTTTTGCCTCTTATGTTGGGATGTGTATTTTATTTTTGTGCCACTTTGTAAGACAATCTGTATTAAGATTCAGAAGAATTACTGGTTTCATCAGGCCTGGCATCCTTTGGGACCTATATTTGGATCCATACATAGGGAAGTTGGTAGAACTTAGTAGAGCTCTAAGGAAAAGCAGAGTAGAGTATTAAAAGAAGGACCTGAATGGATCTTTTCCTCTACATTTTTTCTGGGATCATGTCTCTCATAATTTGGAGAAGTCTCATGTCGTAAAGCATTCAGTAAGACTGCAGGATAGTGGCCGAGGAGGAACCCTTCTTACCACCAAAAAATAGTTTTTGTCATTTAGTGCACACATAGGTATTCTGAAAATTTCAGAGCTTGAATTTGACCTTGCAGACTCCTCATGTGCAAAGGGAAAAAAAGGATAGACTTCAGAGAGCAAGACCATCTCTTTTTCATGTTGCGTTCATGTGAAAGTTGGTGATGTAAGTAGTAATTGCCATTTGTCAATCATAGAGGATTAACACAATTCCCCACTGAGCATGCAAAAACCTCTAGCCCATTACATGTCTAATTCTCAATGAGAATTTTATAAGCTTTCCACATGAGTAGCTATATCCCATGAACCATGAGTATCTTTTCAGCTGACAAGAATTGGGAATGCACAACTCTTAAGACAAGGCATAGTCTACACTCTGAATTAGGCCCCAATTCAACTGATTAAAGAGAAGTTCAAGATTTAGACAAGGTTGGACTGACAAAAGAAATTGCAATGTATAACTTTGCTTCATATTTTTCATATGACTAAAATATTATGATATCTTGTTAACATGCACTGAGAAGGGCAAATATCAGGAAAGGAAATTTTTATTTTAGGATGATTGAAATAGTGTAACGGGATAAAATTTAAGCAAAGAAAATCAGCCTGAATCACGACTTATTCTTTACAGTGAGATTAAAAGAGGGAAGGGGAGAGAGGGGGAGAGAGAGAGAGAGAGAGAGAGAATATTTATCCACTGATACAGGGAGTTATATAATAAAGCAGTCTTTTGTTATTTTTAATCTAGAATGTATTGATAATTCAAAATTAATAAGGTTTTAATTATCATGCTAGAAAAAAAACTTTCTGCTTACTTAAGTATGGCTTAAGTATTGGAGCTAACCTTAATAGTGTATGCTTTTTCAAACTAGATGAAGTGCAAAACGTATGTGCAAATGTAAATCTGTAAATGTAGCACACAATACAGTGTAAAAACCTCCAGCATCACAGTGACTCTAAAATGCATTGTAACTCAAAAAAAAAAAAAAAGTTATCTTTACTTTGCAGAAGGATTTTATCATGCTCATAAGTGTGTATATATAGCTGTGAGTATGTCGAAAGCAACTAGCACAGGATTGCTTAGCTGAGTGGGAGGTGATGCAGGACTGTGCTATTAGTGAGCAGGAGGTGGGAGGTGACTGAGGCTGATGGGCAGGTGGGATATAGTATTTATACACATATGTTTACAAGTATTTTTAGATTCGATAAAAATAAGCAAATGTTAATTTAATGAGACAACTTGCCTCAAGGGTAGGTAGAGTGATGTAATAACTCCAAGTGAGGTAGTGTAGTAGACAGAGCATGACAATTGCGAGATAAGAACACACATTTTTAACTCTGGTGTCACTTAAGTTTTTCACATTGCATTTCCCCTTCCCCATGTATTCTATATAACAATTTTGGCTGGACACATTCTGCAAAGGGACATGTGGTATACTGCACATGTGCTTACAGCTTAATGTAGCACAGTTAAAAAATGATGGCATCTTTAATGACTAGCCATGTAGGGAGGTGGACAGTAACAGCAGAGAGATCTGTATAAGGATTTTCATTTTATGCTTTTTTTTTCTTATCTCTCATTTCCTTCTCTTCACTTTCACTCTTATAACCAAAGACTAGGATGAACGTATTTGTACGTATTTGTGATTTTCCAGGTAGTAGCACTGGTAATTGTTTGGGAATCTTTTTAAAACTTCCTGAGGGTTCATCTTGTCTTTACTTCACCAGAAATACAATGATGTCAATATGTCCTCTGAAAAAGATGCATAAAAATTAGACTGGACCAAGGGTCCAGAGCTACACTACTATGAGCATAAATTAAGCCTGTCTGAGGCAGAGACTGAAGAAATGGCCAGGAAGGTATGCACTGTAACTGAATTCCAATTAAATTGAGCTGTGCAGTAGATGCTGAGGATATGGCAAATGAAGTGGAAATAAACTTAAGCTCAAATTAGGCTGTCAAACTAGGGTAGAAGTTCAATCATTATGTATCTAATGCTATCATATATATTTTATTTGGTATCTCTTGCCTTGCTATAGGTACATCTTGGTACTGGTCTTGGATTTTATCTCTAAAAGACTTCTGTGAAGAAAATACCATTATCTCCACGTACAGATAGTGTTCAGAATGGACTGAATTTCTTGCCAACCTTACATGGCAGCCCACAAGTGGAGCTGAGATTTCCAGAGTACAATCCATCATGCCCAGACAAACATTTGACAAATTTTTATTGACCTGTTTACTTTCTTTCTTACCAGAAATCAGAACAGCACACTCAGGGTCTGTACTGACTGCTAGATCAGAAAATAGAGTCTCTGGAAGTTCTAGCAGCAAAGCTTCAACACTCAGGAACCCCATAAGGCTTTTTTCTCAAATTTCTAACTTTTAAGTGAATCCTTAAAGTGTGCCTATTTCTGTTTGAAGATGCAAAGGCTAAAAATAAATAAATATTTGCAACGTGCACATTCTTCTCCTTCCGGATATTTGCATGTTCCTGACAAGGAACTTAATTAGACAAATTTAATTAAGGGAAACTAGCTGCCCGGCGTCAGGCTGTTCCCCAAATGTTTTCCAAGCTATGATGAATTAATTTTTATGGTCCCTGATTTAGTGCAAAGTTCAGATCTGTACTCAACTCTAAACCTGGAACAAGAGAAATTGGGCTGTAGATGAGGAGAGTGTTCTGTGTGGAATAATGCAGATTTTGACTACTCAATATACTAAACAGGAATTAGTAATACCTATTTATTACAGATTTATCATATACCCTCTGCCATATATGTATTTTCAAACTCTTCAGAAGGTATTCAACCCCATTTTATATTCCTCTGGACAAGTTTCCATTAAAATAGATTTACTTGGGTTTGAAATAATGATTGTCAGTCCTGCGTTGTCCTAGATGGAGATTCTCTTAAAAATAAAAGTGGCAAAAGATGGCAATGAAATCTCTAGGCTGTTTCATTTTGTGCATAGCTTAATTTTTTTTAAGTCATAAAAGATTTTAAGTAAAAAATATACTTTAAGCTTTCTGTGAACCTGCTATTGCTTCTTCAGTCTTCTCTGTGCAATAGGCTTATATCTTCCTTTATTGGATTTTTTTTTTCCAGCAAGAGGAACTTTATTTGTGCCAGTAAAATAGAATTGTTTTTATGAGATCCTTGACAGGGTTTTCAGATTGTTGGCATTTGTGCTTATGAAAGAAATAATGTTGTGTTCAGCTAATCTCTGACACCTAAGAATATCAGTGTAAAAGCTGAGATCTCATGTGTCCTTGGAATGATGCGATCTTTCTGTAGTATGGCATATCCATGAATAATCTACTTAATTGTATTTCTTGACAAAGCAGTACTAATTTGTGAGGAGGAAGAAAAGGAAATGAACCAACTTGAGCCAAAATGGCAGCTGTGAACCTGCCCTTGGCTTAGTAATAAGTGTCTTGAGACATGTTTACTGATCAGTGCTTTGCTAGAGAGGTAGTCCATGGAGACAATTTGTCTTTAATTGCCCAATACATGAGAGCTGCTGGGAAGTGTTTCCAGCCCAAGTGTTAAGAAAAGCAATCCTCATTTTGCTTTAACTTTGTCTGGGTCGTGCGTTCTCCATGCTCTTCTCAATGCAGAGTGCTGCAGAGTTCCGGAGACCAGGCAATACCTTCTCCCCACTATGTTCAACATAGTGGATGTGTCCTGTCAGATTACACATGTAAGTGTTTCCTTATTGAATTCAACAGCATTTCAGCCACCTCTAAGATGTAACTTCCTTTGTGAGCCCATCTCCTCTTGTACTTTCACACTAGGAACTATGTGGATACAGATCTGGACAAGCAGCTGTTACTGATTTGCTTTATGTTGCTAGAACATTGCAAAAAGTTCTGAAAAGCGCTGGGCTGTAGCCCAACAAGGGGGCCTGTTTACGATGAGGCACAAATGAAAAAAATATCTCATTCTAAGTCAGTTTGCAAAGAAGCAGGTGGCATGTGGTTACTGCAGTGCACAGAGAAGAAATGCTGGAGTACAACCTGATATAATTAGAAAAACCTTTTTTTTCTATTTTAGATGATAAAGTAGTTTAAAAAGACAATGATGTTGCTAGCGTATGATCAAGTGCAGAAAGGAAGGCCTAATCAATGAGCAGCCAAGAGCTTGTTCTGTTCATATGTGTAAGCTCCCAGTAATGAGGAGAAAGCATATGGCTGCAGCCAAGGTAAAAGGTCTTTAGCGCATTCTGTGGCGCTGCTCTGTAAGTATGAGTGTGTCCTCAGCTTTGCCCCACTGCCAGCTGCATTTGCTTGGAGAGATCAATGAACTGCCTCATATTATACGCCACTAATATTTATAAGTGAATCAGTGACAGAATAACTAACAAGATACAGTAGATCTAAACGTACGTGGCTTCCTAACATTAATAGATGACACCTTATTCTCAATCTTTTGACAAATGGCAGGTAAAAGCCTAAAATGGCAAAAATAAGCATTTTTTGTGTGATTTTAGACAGTGTCAACTGACAGGGCAAGTTGTGAAGGACTGGAAAATGATGAGCATAACAGTATCTCTCTTCCACCTTCCTTCTCTCCCCATCCCTTCCCCTGAAAGACAGAAAAATAGTGGCAGGACAAGAGGGGAGAGAAAGGCTTTACTGGCAGCCTCAGTCAGGATAGTTTAAAAGCAGGTGTGGGGGGAACTATGAGGAAAAAGACTTGTGGGATTCAGTGAGGAAACACTTCAAAAATATAATTTGATTAGGACACAGCCTGTATGATTCAACGAGGGGGAGGAGGTTTTGCCTGGAATATGCATCTGACAAACTTTCACATCAAGAATTGCTAAATTACTGTCATACCAGCCATGCGGCAGGGGCCAAAACAGCTTGTGGAATAGACAATTTTGTAAGAACTCAAAATTGTCAACCTTTGGAGCTGTTGGCATCTATGAAGGAAACTAGCACCATGCTTGCTGTTTCATTGCTAGATTTACTCTTTTGCCCTAGTGAGGATTTATCTGATTTCCAATGAAATCTGTGAAAGGATAGCCATTAATTAGATCAAAACTTGCAATTTCATGCAAAATATTTTCCTTTGTGTTGTACAAAACATTTGTTTTTTGAGTGTGTGCTATGATACAATGACTCCTAAGCTTAAGATTTAGCAGTATAAACTCTTCAGAGTTTGAAAGATCTGAAGTTCAGAATTTTAAAGCAACTTTACCCTGAAGAAAGGTTGGTATGAAGTTTGTGTGTTTCAGTTAAATGCTAGACAAAACTTTTGACTCTGTAAGTAGGTGTCACTATGTTGCACTATTATCAGACTTTAAGGATCACTAAAAAAAAAAATAGCAACATTGTGAGCTTAGCTAGTATTTGTGAATGGCTCATATAAATGATTCCATGCTTCTAAAAACAGGTATTTCATATGCAACGATTCAGTAATGCACTTAGTGAAAATAAAGGGTACTTACTAGTAATAATTTTTAGCTGTTAAGGGAAAAACTGAAAGGTCAGAATAACAAGTTTGGTATATGGTACTGAGAATTCAAAATGTATAATATGAGGGGCACAGAACATTTTTTTTCCTTTAAGAGATGGTAGTCAGAATAACAAATGAAATTTTTGATGATTAGATTAAATTTGCAGTTCTCTATATTTCACTGCATTTTCTAAGTAATGAAAAAATGATTCCCTCACAGGAACAATTGAAATTTCTTTTCCCCAAAATTCTACCAAAAAATATGATTCATTGTTAACATACAAGCCAAAATGTAGCAACAGAATTTTATTTGATATATTCTGAGAGCCTTTTGGAAAGGTTGGTGTGATTCATGCCAGGTGTTAAAAACATTTATACCGAGGCTCAGTGGAAAACACATGTCAGTTTCTGAGGTCTTTTAATAAGTCATCTTGAATATTTGTTCTAATTGAATCTCCCAAAAAACACACGTCACTCCTCATTAGTGTCCTCAATCACTCCCTGAGCCTCTGAAAACAAGAAAGCAGTTATAACCTTCATGCTATATAGCTGAAGAAGTATGAGAACTTCAGAATAAGGATATTCTAAATCCATATTTTGAATTCTTGATTCTCTCAGTTTTTCAGTTACCATCAAAGAATTCAGATCAGAAGAGACCTTAGCTAAACAGAACTCTAGATTTAAACAAAGTTTTCCATGTGTTATGTCTCTGCATCTTTATATTCATTACTCAGAGATAAGAAATTCCTAAGGACTGTTTTGGTGAGTCAGGGTAGCTGGATTTTGAAAACTGCTTCTTTGAGTTTTTATTTTCATCTATAGAATTATGAATGATTGGTTTTAAGCCTTTATTTCTGGGAACAAAATGCTGTCTTGGGTAGCAAAAGTAGTTGTTTCACAGAACGTAAGTGTATAAGTGTTTGCGGTCAGTAAAAATTTTCAGGTGCACATGCGAGGTTTGGAGTCTTTAGCTTAAAAAGTCCAATGGGACCTTCATTTTTTTTCTTTGCTTATGAAAAAGCAATTCCAATATCTGCAATTCCTTAAGTTATCACACCATGACTGGGGAATTTACATGAAGAGAAAGAAATAGTTGAGTAGTCTATGCTTCTACTTGTTGAAATAGGTTTAATTTGAGAAGGAACTGGTTATTCCTAACTTTTGCTTCAAGAAGTTCTCTGTGCAAATCCTGTGAGTAAAAAGGCTGCCTTTTAAAACCTTTCTGAAATTGAATAAGTGACCAGACTTACCAATGGAAGCTTGTAAATACAGGAAAACGCAGGCTATCTGAGCTGATGTCAACTTGCAGATTTTATTCCTCCAGCAATAGTGGAGGAATTTCAGAATATTTCAGAATATTTAAGGTTGGAAGGGACCTCTACAGATCATCTAGTCCAAATGAAAAGCCTTGTATGAGAAAGCAGGAAAGACGTTTTTTTTTATTTGAAAACCAGGTCTCCTGAGCTATATTATGAGAATTAGAAACGCTTAATGAGTCACAGTATTGTTTATTACAGAGAGTAAGCTATCATTTTCTTATTTTCTTTATATTTCAATTAAAGGTACATAGTATGAGAATATTAAAATCTATATCTAAACATTTAGA